ATGTTGTTTTATTCTATATAAAAATGTGTTAATAAAGTTTTTTTTAAAAAAAAATAGTCATCAGAACAGTTTGAGATAGTTCAAGTCAACTCACACAGAAGTTGTTTTGTTCTTATGAATCTACTTTTCATTTAGTATATATCTGTCTACTGTGACTGACAATTACTTTCCAGTCTCTTAGGGGAAGAATTTCCTAATATCTGCTATTAGATATTTTTATTTGGACATGGTGTGAATTAAGCCTGGGGCATTCTGCAAAATCCCTTCCTACAAGCTACATAGAATCATAGAGTGGGAAGAGATCTTGTGGGCCATCCAGTCCAACCCCCTGCCAAGAAGCATTCAAAGCATCCCTGATAGATGGCCATCATGCCTCTCTTTAAAAGCCTCCAAAGAAGGAGCCTCCACCACACTTCGAGGCAAAGAGTTCCACTCCTGAACAGCTCTCACAGTTAGGAAGTTCTTCCTAATGTTCAGGTGGAATCTCCTTTTCTGTAGTTGAAGCCATTGTTCTGCGTCATAGTCTCCAGGGCAGCAGAAAACAAGCTTGCTCCTTCCTATGACTTCCCTTCCCATCTTGATCCATGGCCCTAATCATGTCTCCTCTCAGCCTTCTCTTCTGCAGGCTAAACATGTCCAGCTCTTGAAGTTGCCACTCATAGGGTTTGTTTTCCAGACCCTTGATCATTTTAGTCGTCCTCCTCTGGACACATTCCAGCTTGTTAACATCTCCCTTCAATTGTGGTGCTCAGAATTGGATGTAGTATTCCAGGTGTGGTCTGGCCAAGGCTGAATAGAGGGGTAGCATGACGTCCCTGGATCTAGACAGTATACTCCTAATTATGCAGACCAAAATCCTATTGACTTTTATAAACAGCTGCATCATATTGTTGGCCCATGTTTAACATGTACCATTTATGTTATATACTACACTTGTAGTGCCTTGTAAGACACCCCAAGTCGTTTTTGGGAGACGGTGACGGGATTTAAATGATGATGATGATGACATAAGGAGTGTACAGCTCTGGTTGAATAGAGGAACATCATAGAATATTGTTTCAATTCACTTTAACCTCAGAAAATCGTCCACTTCTCCTAGTATGAAGCCATTTGGCTCAAGTGCCATGTTCCATTCTACTCTTCAGTCATGAGATGGCTGAGTCAGGCAGTGTTGGTGTCACATCTCTCACCCTGCTTCTTTGATCCTTTTATTGGTGAATTTAATCATGGCATTTATATCCACATTTCTTGCTGTGGTGACCTAAAGAATAAAGAGGGGAAAATAGATAGCAGAGTTCAGGCGCACTGCACCCCATACTGGTTCAATTGAGTTAGGAAGCAGCAGGAGGGCAAAGGAAAATGTCTCCAGTAAGTGACTATATTCCTAGACGCTAAAGCTAATGGCCCTCAAAGGACATGTGTACCCCTTATTGGAGCTTTTGAAGAAACCTTTCATTTTCTGAATGGTCTCCAGTTGAACCACAGGAGGCTGAGAGCTCACAAAGCAATTAGTATTTTACTCTTTTAAGGGATTTCCAATAAAGCCAAATATTGTATCTGATTTTTTTTTCTTTTCTGTATTACACGGAGACTGGAAAGCCATTTCCAAAAAGTAAATTGTTACTGCTATAATTCCAAACCCCCATTTCCTCATTTTCACTTTGAACATATTATATTTATTTTTAATAACATTTTACTTTCTTGTTTCTCAGAAGTAAATGAAATAACTGCTTTAAAAAGAAAGTGCACATCCTAATGCTAATAAGCCATAGGGTAGAAAGCACACTTCCCTTCAACCCACTTCATTACATTCTGAATGACACCACAGTAGAGCATGAAACATACCATGGGTTAAAACCTTAGCCCAATTAATATTACTCTTCCACTGTTTACTGTTGTCTCCCCCACGTAATTATAAGTTGCAGTTGTACCACAAAAGGAATGACATTATCCCACATTAAATTGCAGCCATAATGTGATGTACTTCTAATTAGTTATTTGGGGAAGGGACTACTTACAAAAACATTATTAATTTGCAACTAGTAATTTTCAGCCTGAGTATTTGGAAAGTGTAAACAAGATAGGACTCACATTCTGGGATCCTGGTAGAGTGAAAGCTGACAAAAATAATACTGGCTATATATGGTTGTACAGTAACTCTGAAGGATGATACGTTGTTAATGTCAATGCACTTTGAGTTTAGCTGCTTCCTTTCCCCTTTCCGTAGCCATAACACAAAGGGGGCTTCCACCAGTTTGCTGAAATAGATTTCAAATTGTTGAGATTTTCCCCCAATTTGCAAATGTTTGTAAACCACTTCCAACTTTTCTTATTTTGTCTTTAGTTTTACAGCCAGTAGCATCTAAGAACTGTCTGGACACAATGCTTTCCATGTCTAATTTGATGCCCTTTAATGCAAGAAATGGAGCCAGTGTGGTGTAGTGATTTGAGCATTGGAGCATGACTCTGGAGACCAAGTTTTGAATCTCTGCTCAACCATGGGAACCCATTTGGTGACCTAAAACCGCTCACATTCATTAGCCTGAGAGGAAAGCAAAGGCAAGATCCTTCTGAACAAATATTGCCAAGAAAATCCCATAATAGATTTGTTTTATGGTCACCATGAGCCAGAAACAACTTGAACACACAAAATAACAACAACAACACCAGCAGGGCAAGAAAAAAAGACGTGATGTTGGACCAAATGTACCAGTTTTGTATCTCTTTTTGACCTCAGTAACGTCAATGGTAGCATTCTCCAAATAGGTGTTCTCCAGATGGCAAATTGTCTTGTCCTGTGCACATTTACTGGAACCCATATAATTCAGTGAAATAAGCATTCATGGGATTTGTTGCAATCTAAATCTTGTGATATTGTGCTTAATAGATACATGCAAACAAAGGCAGAGGCTTCTCCTTTCATTTCCGGCTTCAGGAGGCAATTCTTTCCTCCATTTTCAAGCCAAGGAGCCTGACTTCTTGCCTCCTGGTTTTATGGCCGGCAAGATTGCTTGGAGCATCTCTTTGCCTTTTCCTGCCAAAGTGGTATCTATTTATTTGCATGTATTTTAACTGCTAGGTTGGCAGGAGCTGGAGCTGAAAAACGGGAGCTCACCACATCTCGCGGATTCGAACTGCCAACATTCAGGTCAGCAGTTCAGCAGCACAGGGGTTTAACCCATTGTGCCACTGTGGCCCCTTTAATTCTTTAGGCTCTTAGAATCCAAATGGCACTATTGCCTTAGCCTAGAATTCAGGAATTCTTGAGTAAGATTCGGAATTACCAAGTCTTGTGATCACAAGAATGTCGTGAATGCTCTTTCTTAGCAAGGAAATAGATCTTTCTTAGCTGCTAAAGTCATCAAAATATAATTCAGTGGAACAGCAGTAAAAACAGTCTTGGAAGGATGTGTGTGCTCACATATTTGGATGTTGCATATTTGATTCTGGAATAACTGAAGTTCCATAAACTTTGAAAAGACAAAGAAAAATGCTTTTTGAGCTTGGCACTTACTATGTTTATACACCATTATTTTAAATGATGAAATGATGAAATGATTTAGGGAACTGCCTCATAAATAAGAGTTCATTCACCCAATTCCAGTTTTGTCTTCTCTGATTAGGCTAAAATCTGAGGGAAGTGTCCTTCCTACCTATTTCTTGCTCTTTTGGTTACAGATGCCAAGAACTAGAGCTAGGAAAAGTTACCAGTGGGAATACAAATGCCAGAATCCATCTGCCAACGTGGGCAATGTACTAGCAGTCCTGTGTTTTCCTCAAAGTAGCCTTTTCCTTCTCTGTCAGGAACTGATCCTGGGACCTTATTGATCTGATAGTGCAGTGGTTCTCAACCTGTGTGTCCCCAGATGTTTTGGCCTTCAACTCCCTGAAATCCTAAAAGCTGGTAAACTGTATTGTCGAAGCTTTCATGGCCAGAGTCACTGGGTTGCTGTGGGTTTTTTGGGCTGTATGGCCATGCTCCAGAAGCATTCTCTCCTGACGTTTCACCTGCATCTATGGCAGGCATCCTCAGAGGTTGTGACCTCAGGAGAGAATGCTTTTGGAATATGGCCACACAGCCCAAAAAAATTACAGCAACCCAGCTGGTAAACTATCTGGGATTTCTGGGAGTTATAGGCCAAAACACCTGGAGACCCACAGGTTGAGAACCACTTTGATAGTGCAAAACACATACACAACGACTGAGCTCTGCTCCTTCTCCATGTTTGCATGCTCTGCAGCTCTTCAGCTCAACAAAGCACACAATGGAAACTCCTTGTTTCACAATGAGTTGGGAAATAACCGTTTTCAGGACTTGTGCTATCCCTGAAAGACGTCTTTGAACATATATGGAGAACCAGTAGGAATGACTGTAAAAACATACTTGTGTTAGGTAGTTAACGTAATTTTTTCAAGTTATGAGAACAGCTTTTTTTCCCTTTTTTGTGAGTGTGAGGCACCCTTTGAGAACAGAAAGCTCAGGTTGCGCAAGGAAGTGGGTCAGGGCTATAAAGGTTTCTTGTCTTTTCTCCTCCAATGTTGCCTGAGTCGTAGCCCCCCCCCCCCCTTTAATCAGACTTTGCCTGGTTTGTTTTACGTTGGGCTGTCTGGGACATTTGTATTGCCTGACACAACAGTAAGTGGAAAGGCATGCTGAAAAGCATGGGAACGGTCTCTGTGAGTAGGTTGCTTAAGCTGCCCAGCAGGTAATAGAAAACTTTGCCAGCAGGTGCCAAGAGACAGAAATGTAGCACATATCCAGTGTCTTCTCTCACTCGTGTTCATGCTGCTGGGCTGTGGAATATGATATGGCCCCAGGAGGCGCATGACTAATGAAATTTAATTATTTAGCCCTTTCTGCAAAAAAGGGGATGACATGCAATGTGGAGTCTCTGAACAGTGTTTTAATTAATAGCTGAGCTGAGAAACTTATTAAAAGAGCTGTCTTTCTCTTCCTCCGCCCTCCCCTAACCCCTACTTCCCACCATATGATTTTTCAGGTCCCAAGGGAAGAAGGGGGAAGCTGTTCTCTTACTGAGAGATTCCATTCAATACGGACCAGAGTTTGCCGATGCGTACTCCAGTCTTGCTTCACTCTTGGCTGAACAGGTAACTGGCTCCATTCAAGTTTACCTCACCTGGGTGCTAACAATATGCAGCCTTTAGTCCATGAAGTCCCCCGTGAAGAGCCCTTGTGCCCATTTAAAATTAGTGTGTTTTCAGATCAAAAGAAAATCTCAGAATTGACACTCAAAGCCCATCTAATGGATGCAATCATGCAATTCCCTTCCCCCCAAAAAACAATTGAAGTAACTCCTTCTTCTATGTGCAAACACTCAGGTTGTATTGCAGCCTGTAGAGAAAGTTGGGGCTATCAAATTGCCTGCCCCATCCCCATGCAGTTGCCTGTCCTGGGTTATATAGTAACTCTGCAGCAAGAAAGCCATTTGGCTACAGCCACTTTCCAGGCAACTGTTATTGATGCTGAGTAGGATTCGCTCTCTGTCCCACATAAAAATGTTAGTGATTGACATGGGGATTTGTCAACATTGACTGTTTCTGCATGGCTGGAATGAGGGTAAAGGGGGATATAATTCCTAGGATCTACTAGCCTGCATGGGAAGAAACTGGGAATGAAAGTTCAAACAAGTAAGATTTCCAAGTTCTGGGTTCTCCAGCATGCAATGCATGTTTTCTAGGGCTGGGCGGTTTCGTTTCGTTAATTCGTAATTCGTTAATAATTCGTTAATTTTTTCAATTACAAAACGATAATGAACCATTCTGGAGCAATTATTAAAAAAAACGAATTTTCAAAAACGTTTTGTAAATGCTTCGTATTTCGATATTGTATTCGTTTCGTTATTGTTTTGAGGTCGTTTCGTTATTATTTCCGCATGTCTGGGCCAGTTTTATGGTTTAATTAGTGAAAAAAAATTATAATATCACACCAACAGTCAACAACAGAGGGAGAGGGAAGCTTCAGAAGGTTTTGGAGGTTTTTTAGTGTATTTCGCGGTCGCGTCCGCCATTAACGAATCGATTAGTTATTGTTTCAGAAATCGATTCGTTAATTTTTTACCATTTACGAAATTTCGTAAATATCGAACTTTTAAAAGGAAAATTTTGTAATTATTTTAAATATCGAAACAAAAAAACCCCCCAAATACAAATCGATTTTAGAAACAAATTTTTCCGTTGTTACCCAGGCCTAATGTTTTCTGTTTGCTGTATCTTCAGACCTTCCCCAAAAGACAGGTCATTATTTACTTCTTTTGCAAGGGGAATACCCTTCCTTTTGCATTTTGATCTTGTCCCAATTGAGATGGTTTCCCCCAGTTTGGAAACTTTTGATTTAAACATTTATGCCATCATTTTTGGACAAAAATAATGTTGTAAAAGTCACTCCTAGCGAAAACGTAGTCTTTTCCCTTTTTTTTTGGCTTGTTTTATTGTACTTTCCTTTTAACTGTAATAATATATATACTAGAAAAAAAGGAAAGAAATTCATGGTTTTCCATTGGTAGGCAATTTGAAGGTATGTGTGCACATGCACACGCACACGCATGACCTCACATACAGGAGGACCAGACCAAAGTGCTAGAAGTGGCACTGCTTTTGAAGAAAGCAGACTGATTAATTGCAGGTCCTGGATTTATTTTTATTACAGTTTGGGAAGGGAGAGGTGGAGGGAGCTTTTTGATTGCCCTCATTGGTCCTACACAGCACGTTTCCTCCAGTAATCTAGGGAACTAAAATGCGCCTTGACGGTTCCTTTGCTTCTTTAGTTGTAAAAGGGCCCCTTAAGATTAATGTTCCATGCTCAAGGGAGTTAGGTTGTAAGTCAGCGTAATTACCCTGTCCTCCCCTCAAAAGGTGATTTTCAAACAAGATCAGACTTGAAAGGAGAGTACGCTTACACAAGTGTGTGTTCTAGGGAGCCCAAACCTCTGCTGCTTTTGAAGGTGTTGCAACTTTAATCAAAGCTGCTACTGATGCTGGGAGACTAGCTTGTCATTCCTATGGACTTCAAAGTGCTTACACCATTCTCACCGATACATTTCTGTGGCATGTGCCTGACATCAACACTTCCAAAGGCAGCACTCCATTTGTTTGTCAGCTTGAATTAGCCTGCTGACCTCGCGTCAGGTTGCGTTCTTTATGTACCCTAGAATCTGGGGAGATTTGCTTTGTGGCCACCATGTTTGCCCTTCCTTCCTTCTTCCTTGTTGAAAAAGATGAGAAAGTTGTTGTATTCACCCAAAAAGTTCCTTCACAAGAATATTGCTTAGTTGAAAAGATTTGATATTATCAGTAAGATCATGATTGGATAACTTTCGAGTGCTTCCAGATGATGTTGGACTTCAGCTCCCATGGTCCTTCATTGTTGGCTATAAGATGGAACCCATTATGGACTGCAGATGTTTGGGATGCAATGGAGGTTTAGCTACTGGCCTAATATCTTAGACCTGATTTGGCATCTGCCGTCTGGGCTTCGGCAGATGCCCTTGGTCCCAAAGTTGGAAGATTTGGTCTTATAACCTCCAGAATAGCCATCAGTAGGACGAAGTAATAGGAATCACAGTCCAGCAACATCTTTAGGATGCTGTATCCCCCAACACTATCACAGTATAGCTCCTTGTATCTCCTAAAAGCAGCAGAGGGCTACAAATGTCTGCATGTTAACCTGGGAGCAAGCATTATTGAACTCAGAAGAGTTGACTTTAGTGCAGACATCTGTGGGATTACACTGAAATTGTACTTTGTAGTATACTTTCACATTGCAGATAAATTTGAGTTATCTTGGAAGAAAATTAAAAGGAAAGAAACAAAGCCCTATCAAGGATATATGTGTTTCACCTCCAAAAAGGTATCTCCTGTGGCCCCTGTTTATTTGTCAGCACACCTGCTTGCCTCATCTTATAGTCTCTGGAAGAGGCAGTTGCCTTTCACTGCAGAAGCATTCCATGTTATTAAGGGCTGCAATACAAATGTAAATGAAGGGAAGATACCTTGTCCCACATCTGTTTTCTTTGTGTGAGGGAAAGATCTTGATTATTACATTCCTTTCTTTCATGGACAGGATTCAATCTGCTTTTTTGCAGCACAGTATGCTTTGAAATCCATATCCCTATACCAGTGGTTCCCAACCTTTTTTTTTTTGACCAGGAACCATTATCCAACATTAGTACCAAAAGGGTTACAAATCAGTTTTTGGTCAACTCTTGATTTGGTTTGGTTATTTAGGGTGCTGATTCAGAAAATTGCACTGGACAGACCACATCAGCTCTAGTTTCTGATACAGAACATATGCCATCCAACAGTTGCCATCTGGTCACTCACAGAAAATCATATTTAATAAGCCTCAACACTATAAGAAGGTTTCGCGAGACTAGTCACTCTCATTGCAACGGTGTAATAACAATGAGGCCGCAGACCATATTTTAATTCTTGCACATGACTGGTGGTCCACGGACCACAGGTTGGGAACCACTTCCCTATACAGACAGGTTACACCTTCTTATTCATGTCCACATTTGAGAGAGCCCCAAATGCATTTACATTGGTAATACTCTTGTTTCTGGGTTGTTGTAGGTTTTTTCGGGCTATATGGCCATGTTCTAGAGGCATTTTCTCCTGACGTTTCGCCTGCATCTATGGCAAGCATCCTCATAGATGCAGCAAAACGTCAGGAGAAAATGCTTCTAGAACATGGCCATATAGCCCGATAAAACCTACAACAACCCAGTGATTCCGGCCATGAAATCCTTTGACAATACTCATGTTTCGCTTTCCAAGTTGCTTATAACTAGGGTTGCTAGATGAAATAAGGAACAGCCCTCTTAATAGCTAGGTAGCAGAGGGAATTTCAGCAAGTGTTTGGTGTTATATATATATACCATTTGTTGAAATTCCCTCTTGCTGTTGTGTGTCTTTGAGTCATTTCCAACCTACCATAGGTGCGTGTGTGTGTGTTCAGACTTGTTCAGAGAGAACTTGCCTTCACCTTCCTCCGAGCATAAGAAAGTGTGTCTTAACCAAAGTCACCCAGTGGCTTTCCTGGACAAATGAGGATCCAAACCCTTATCTTCAAATCACAAATATCTGCACCAGTGATTCTCAACCTGTGGGTCCCCAGATGTTTTGGCCTTCAACTCCCAGAAATCCTAACAGCTGGTAAATTGGCTGGAATTTCTGGAAGTTGTAGGCCAAAACACCTGGGGACCCACAGGTTGAGAACCACTGATCTATACCGTGCTGGTGCTCTTCCTCTCTTATACAATAATTACATTAACATGAACCCTGCCTTGTATTTCACCCTGAAACCCTACCATAACAGCTACAACCATATAATTTCCAAGCAGTCAGTTTTCCATATTATGGAGCTGGGTCAGATGCCTTTTGATTATTCTCAAAGCCAGGTCCAAGAGCCCCCATCATCATCTCCATGTCTTCATAGGTAGAACACCTGGTTTTAGTAATAAAACTAGAATTAACATTGTGCTTGCTTTTGATTTCTAAAATTTGCCTCTTGAAGCCTTTTTAAGGTGTGCGTGAAGGGGCAAATTGCAAGTACTGAGTGAAATGGAGAGCTGTAGTTCCTGGAGGATTCTGTAGGGACAATTTTCAGTTTTTTTAACCACTCCACAATTATAAAAGACACAGGACAAAACCTTACACAGAAGGGGCACATAGGTTTCACCATTTTCACCCTTTTTGAAACCATCCAGGCAGGTCCAGCATCACCACTTGGTAACAAAATAATAGACCAGCTACTAATGCTCTGCAAAACAAACCAAAAAAGGGCACAGATTTACATATATCTTGCATATGTGAAGATATATCCATTGATATATTTTTGAAATAATTACTATAATTAGAAGTACAGCTCATTTCACTGTAGTGGGAAAACCTGTGACCTTTTTTTGCTTTTAGCTCAGTCTGCTGTGTTAGATTCATGCACGAGCTAATTAAGCTGTAGCTTAAGGCATCTAAAGAACAAGGAACAAAGCAAAAGTACTACATTTCAAATTTTGGTTAAATGTTATGATATCTCATAAATTTGCCTTGGCTCAGGGCCTTCACTGGATTTTAACATGATTGCTACCCAGACGCAAGTGGCTGGAGGATAGCTCCCTTCTTTCTTCGTGTTCTTAAACAAAGCTCAATCCTTCTCTTTTGTAGAGAAGGATTGAGCTTACTAGTACTGTGCAGTAGGATCTCATGGGAAGGTCCATTGGTACAGCTGTCTTTTCTAGGTTTGCTGTGCCAGTTATTTGCAGGACACCATTTTATTATTCCCTTTATTTATTTCCTGTCTTTTCTCCAGACTTAGGAGTCAAGGCAGCTTTCATATCAACTGTGGCTGTTAGGTACCATTATTGAATGACATTGTTTTAATGCTTCTCTTTTTTTAAAAAAGGAGCATATTTCCATAAGAAAAATGTACATGTAACCATTAGTAATGACACTGACTAACTTCTGGTTTAATAATATATGCTAACTCTTTTTGCATTAAGGAGCAATTAAAAGAAGCTGAGGAAGTATATCAGGCTGGAATAGAGAATTGTCCAGATAGCTCCGATCTGCATAATAACTATGGGGTTTTCTTAGTCGATACCGGTAAGTAGAAAGTAGCCACAGCTTATATACTGGGCTACTTTAACTTTTAAACTCTTACCCTGGGTGGGCCAGAATGGCTCTTAGTTAATCTGTGTCATTATGAGATCTGTCATTGCCTTCATCCAATTAACTTCTCTGTGGTTTCTCTTTATGAATTATAAAACAACATAGAGTTGGACTACTTGCCAGTTTTGTTTTTGTTTTCATTTTGGCAATGTTGGCATCTGTTGCAAATATATTTCTGTTGCTTCAAGGCAGTTCAGTATTCTGGTTTCCTAGCTGTTGCTGTTTCTTTTCTTTTTTTAACTACAGTATTCACCTTGCTCTTTTCTCCCACTTTCTTTGACTTTATTTACAGTCACTGTCCTCTGATTGTATTAATTTTGTTGATCACATCACAATATTAAATATGCTATAATGGCAGAACTAATATCCACAATTAATATAATGTGGGGCATCACAGATAACCAACTTGATTTTCATTGAGATTAGACATGCGCACAAATTTTGTTCCTACCATTTCTTTCGTGTCTTTCATTTCTTTGGACGCATGAAACAGAAAGCTCCCTCCCCACACGAAAATATGCACAATACGAAAACCTGCTTTTGTTTGCATCCAAACTTGCCTTGGAAAGAGAGTGCATATATGGTGGGGCTGGCAGGCAGGCCCAGAGCTTGGCTGCAGGCATGGTCCGGGCCCGCCTTCACGCCCCACCACACATGCACTCTCGTAGTGTGTGGCAGGTTGTGTGTGGCGGGGCGTGCAGGCAGCTGATCACATCTTACTGTAGAGTAAGTGGTGTTTGGCTGCAGGCATTGGCAGGCATGCATGCTTTTTAGGCCTGCCTGCATGCCCCACCACACACACACACACACTATCCAAGGAAAGTGCGAGTGTGGCGTGGCGTGTAGGAAATCCCAGAAAGCGTGTGCACCTACCAGTGTCAACAGCTGAGCGCCTCTTGTTCTAGAGTAGAAACAGATAAGAACACGCACAAGGAAGGGGAGCCAGTGGGTGGTCCGATTTTTGGGCCTCAAAATGAAAGAACTGAAAACAATCTCTCCCAATTTCAGGAGGCTTGCAAAAAATGGATCGGGTCCCTTAACAAAAGCTGGGACATGAAAGGGGGCAAGGTTTACCCCAAATGCATTTGTCTAATTGAGATGAAGTGAAGATAAGCATGATAAGAATAAACAAGAAGACGGGTACAAGCATAAGCAAATGTTATGAAAAGATGCTAAACCACCTCGAGTTGCCTTCAGGCTGAGAGGGGCGGTATACAAATAAAATAAATAAATAAATAAACGTCCCTAGAAGAACCTGGACATTTAGCAACCACATTTTCCCCCTAGCCACTGATTCCATAGTTATCATTAGCAATTGATTCTGTAGTTCTGATGCAACTTCAGAATTCGTAAGCAGCCAAGCCTACTTTTCTTTATATGCTTTCCTAAGGGTAAGTCTGACTGAATTTAGTAGGGTTTGCTTCTGAGGTTTCCATGCGGGGCTCACTTTCGTTGGAATTAAATCTCATTGAACTCATATTGAATTTAGGTGAAATAAGGGACAGTGATTGTGTAAAGAAGGAAATTTCTAGCCGCATTGGGTCCAACTCTGAATTTCCCTCTTATAGACAATTATTAAAGGGTTGCCAGGCAAAATGATGGAGCTTTGTCCACCATTTCACCTGGCAACCCTATTCTGAATACACATGTGTTGGATTGCTCTTCAAATAATGAAACTTGAGTCTGCTGGTGGATTAGCAAGTCTCTTATGCACAAGAGTACATGCATTTTGATGGGTTTCCAATTAGCAGTGCTATGAAGCTTGTGACCTTCCCACTGCATATTTGTCTTTTCAGCCCAGCAGAGCATTGCCTTCCTATCTGTCTGTGCCTAGCCAAAGGCTCTCTCCCATATCCTGACAGTAATGCAAGGCGACCACTCCAAGCCATAAATGCTTCTTTGGCTTTTCTGCCAGCTGCTCAGTGGTGGCAAAACAGCTCTTCCAATTGGAGAGGCTCAGCACAGCTGCGATAAAATAAATAAGGCTTTGCAGTCAGGCATGTTTTGGCCAAACACAGATGCTGTGAACCAGAGAGAAAGAATGGTTTTTTTCTTTGCAAAGACTCCTGACAGAACCCAGAAATTTTAACTCATTTGGTGCTGGTTCGCATCCAATTTCCATGGTCCAAGTCTCCTTTTTGGCACATACATAATAGAAACACAGTCTTGTGAATGGAACATTCTTCATTAGCTGAGTTGGAATAGCAAGAGCATAATCTGCTCCTTTCACTTCTCAAAGTGGCAAGGATGGGATGGGCTGTAGAACAGGACTGAGACACTTCTCAGAGCTATTGACCATGAAAATTACCCAGCTACTGAGTCTCAGTTTGCTGCGACCAGAGCATCTCAATGTAAAATGGGAAGGAAGGCACATTTCTTTTTTTGCTTGTTTGTTTTAATGCTATATTCTCCCCAAACTAGATCTTACCGTGTCTCACAATTAAACTTGAAAAACAGAGATGAAAATTCAAAAACATATTCTGTGAAGCCATAATAAAACAAATGGTTGAATTAAAAACAAGTATAACAAAGATTACAACATTCCTCAGTAAACTATTTTCAAAGAAAAATGCCAAAAGCACATCTTCATACAACAGGAAGCAGTCAGTCCAAGCCCAACGTTTTTCATTAGTTCAACAGCATGGGAGCAGCCACTGGAAAGGCCCTCTCTTGTGTCTCCTCTAATATTCCTATGAAGGAAGTGGAACCCCAAAGGTCAGTAAGGCAGGCAGACAGGCTTGTATGGGAAAATAAGGTTCTTCAGATTGGCTGGACTCAAATAATCTCATTTTCCATTTAACACTTGCAGGAAAATCTTCTAGGACGCATAGTAGGAAATTAAATTTGGATAGCCTATTAAGATTTGGGTATTTTGTTTCCCACCTATAATGCTACTGTGCAATTAGCATAGTTGGTTTACTAGGAAAGTAATGAGTAAAAGTACCCTTTGGCATAAAACTCCCAACATATATTTTTACATCCTGGGCGCTGCAACAACTTAAAAAATCTATTATTTACATTTTGAATATATGTAGATTATTTACTCCATTGGTATCCCACCTCTTTTGAAAAGGGCCTATTTTATCTTCAATTCAATATTGTGAGGTTTGGGAGAGAATGACCCAATGCCACCTAAGGAAACTATCTACAGACCCACTAAGAAAATCCAACAAATGCTACATTCAGCAAAGGACAAGAGGGATCCTCTCACCTCTGCAGGAGTCTACTGCATACTATACAGTTGTGGACAACGCTACATAGGGACCACCAAATGCAGCATTGCCCAAACACGAATCAAGGAACATGAAAGGCACTGAAAACTAATTCAACCAGAGGATGCCTGCCATAGATGTGGGCAAAACATCAGAAGAGAATGTTTCTGGAACATGGCCATACAGCCCAGAAAACTCACAGCAACCCATCTAAGGAACTTTTGGTTAGATGAGGCTGTGAACCTGGGTCTTTCCAGTCTTTTTACAGCACTCCAAATTGGATTTGCCAATTTCACTGGGAAAAGGGGACAATATTCCACTCTGCAACTCTCCATGGGCAGCACCCCCACTGGATTGCACCAATATACTTTGTTTTCCATCCATTTCCCCTTCCGAATGCCATTGTGTCGCAGCTTCTTGCCATTTTGAAGAAAGGCAAAGAAGGCATTGTTACAGGAGGTGAGAAGTTCTGAAAAGGTTTTGTTGTTGGAGAAGTTTTTGCGGCACGTTTGTATGAATGGGAAAAGACTAAAAGTGGTAGATAACTGGTTTTTGCCCTATATTTGCCAGATTTTGTAAAATTTAGAGGTGAAGTGGTTGACGCATTCAGGGGCCACAAAAACTGGTTCAGGGACCAAGAGCTGCATTTTCTGAATCATTTGATACATATTTATTTCTTGGGTCAGATTGGTGGCAATACTTAAAGGCTGCCGCCACATTGTTTGATATAAATTTATATCCTGCCTTTCTCACAACTATGGCATTTAAAGCAGGCTGCAAAAAAAGTTTTCCAAAATTGTATAGCCATATAAAACAATATATAAAAGTCCATTAAACCACTTCAAAGCCTTTTAAAAGTCGAAATAATACAATAAGTTTAGAACAGCTAGATTAATTGAGGGAGATCTGAAAAAGGGTAACACAGCATTTCCCAATTGGGTGTCCTCCAAATGTGTTGGACCTTAGCCACTAATCTCCAGCCAATTTGGCTCTGTTGATGGCATTTATAAGCCAACACACCTGAAGGTTCAGAAAGGCTGCAGTAGGTCTAACCTTTACAATGCACTACAAATCAAGAGTAATAACTGAATGAGGTAAACAGCCAGTTGTTAACAGTTAAGTGCCTGGGTCAATGCATCAGAGTTCACTGGCTGCTAAGATTAACACTTTTCATTGATTTTGAAGTGGGACTCACCTGTAAACTTATCCAGACTTTTGCCACCCACTTGCAGGCCAACTTCACCTTTTGAGTAGAAGTATGGAGAGTAAAATTGGTTCTTTTTCCTTTATAATGTTACTATATTAAGAATATGCATCAGTATATATTTGAATATAATGTAAGTATAATATATGGGATGTATGGCTTTTTAGATGCTGTTATATTGCAATCCTGTCGTCGCTAACCATTGCCCATACTACGTAGCTGGAGATGATGGGAATAGCAATCTAATGACATCTAGAGAGCCATGTTTGGTTTGTACCCAGTTCTGGGCTGTGTTGGACAGAAAAGTGGGGTAGTTAAGTCCCAAGTGTTTTGGACATCAACTCCCAGAATTCCTGGCCATTAAACAAGCTGGCTGGGGCTTTTTGGAATTGGAGGGCTGCAGGCTGAAAAGGTCTGTTCTAAATCATCCTTTCCCAAGTCAGCATGCTTCAGATGTTTTGGTTTCAATGCCCATCATGGGATAGCACCTGGACTGGACTGAGGAAAAGCAAGTAATA